AAACGGAGGAAAAAAAAAAAAACGGTAACCTGGTTGCCGAGTTCACGAAGTGAATTGGCTTGTTTTACAACGTCGTTGCCAAGCGACGAAAACCCAATTCCGATGGCAAACACCGGGGGGGGGCGGCTTGTTTTATTTCGTCGAAGTAATCGTCTTTGCCATCCTCATGCATCGTCACAGTCATCATCGCATATTTTGAATCAATGAAGTGCCATCTCACGAAAACTCAGCGCCGAAACAAGACACCATCGCAAATAAACACACACTTGCGAACTCTACTAAAACAACCCGCCATTGTACGTGCCGGCCCGGCACTTCGCGCTTGATGATGTGAGAGCCTGGTCCGGTGAGAACCCGGCGTGCTCCGTCCCGGCTCTGAAGGGATGCGAAGTCAATGGTCTAAGGACTACGCCATGCACGACTATGAGAGTACACCCCCCCCATCCTTCGATTCGCATTTCCTCCCTCTTATCCCGTTATCGTTCTCTCACCCTCACGAAGCGATCGGAAATGCCTTCCAACACGGGGAGCCCCTGCTCCCCTGTTGCCGCCGAAGGATGAGGCCCGGAACAAAAGACTTCCACGCGGGTGCGTGCGCCGGACGCCACGGCAAGCTGGGCGTCGAGGTCGCCCACGTGGCGCAAGCAGCCCGGGCACGCCGCCACCCAGGGCAGGGTCCCGGAGGTCTGGGCCGCGACGAGCGGCCGCTCCACCGCTACCACGTCCCCTCGGCGCACCGCCTTTGACGTTCTCGTGGTGGTAGTAGTAGTTGTCGCCGCCTGTTGGGCTAGAAACCCGTTGCCGACCCCGTTACCGACTCCGGCGGGAGAAACAGGAGGATCTCTAGCAAAGCCGGTGCTTCTGGCTCGTGATCCCTGGCGAGGGGGGCTGGGGGCGGCCGAAAGCCAGCCCGCCAGACGCCCGTGGCGAGTTGGGAGGAGAGTTGCGTCGGCGCCGCCGCCCTCTCCGCCGGGGTGAAGCTCGCGCAGCGCCTCGCCCTCGGCGATGTCGTTAAAGGTCGAAGTCAGCAGCATTGTGGTGACTTTCGTTCTGACCGCTACAGTTACATGCGATGCCGGCAGCCTGTGGTGTTGTTTGAGGCGACATGCAGCGTTGTTCGGGCGTGCCGATGTATGGCCACATTTACATGTTCAGTGGCCTCTTGTGTGTTGTAACACCTGCTGTATGAATCAAACGATGCATGCTCTGAAAAAACAGAGAAGCGAGCCAGATAGGCAGCCAGCCATCCCCAACATTGTGCAACGACACCGTCCGGTGGTCTCGAGGGTACGGTGCATGGCCTTACTTACAGCAGCAAATGCTGAAAAGACCAACAAAAAACACTACCGGATAGGTTAACGGCAGCAGATAAATGCGCAACCCACTCGAAGTCGCTGCAGTGATCTGAATCAATTGGTGCGTTGATAAAAGCACACTGCACAGCTGCAAATGGGGCTCCGCTCTCTGCTTCGCGCAGCCAACGTCCTCCTTCGTACAGCAGTAGTCCGAAACACTGGTTGTTCAACGAAATATTTGTGCGGCTCAGAACCCGTACCTTGCAGTCCCGTGTCTGCCGAGAGAGGCTACAACAACAGGTTTCAGCAAGCACACCACCCCTTGTCTTCGAAGAGGACTAGCAACAGCAGGTTCAGGAAGCACACCACGGGGTGGAGCACCGAGACCCTGATACCAGGAGTCTAACCAACCATGGCCTGTGATAGGCCGAACATCAACAGTCCGTAGGCAAGGCCAAAACGCCTTTTACCGTACAGTCGACCCCGCTTTAAGGACGCTCGCGTTAAGGAATCTCCCCTCTTGAAGTAAAATAAATTCGAAATAATGGAACCACGAAGGGGTTCCGTGGATGAGAACAGATGAACTGCAGAAGACCAGTAACCAGAAACGGGTATACCCGGGTACTTCGTCACCACTTTCGGGTACACTTAGAAATCAAGACGGTTGCACCCCCAGGCTGTCAGCTGATTGGCCAAAAAACCATTGTACCCATTTCTGAAGAAAACTCTCTCGGGTACAACTTCCGCTGGAGATAGCACCCTCTGGTGTAACCGATATTGGTTACTGGTGTACCCGGAAGAGGTAGATTTTGTACCCAGAAATGGTCATACATCCCGGCGCCCGACGACTCTAAAACCCGCAAAAAAGACCGTACACCGCACATACCACGGAGACACACCATAAATCGCACATATCCCACAGTAGCCACAAACCACCAACTCTTTCTTGTTGATGGACACATTGCCTCCAGGGACACCAATCTCCGATGATAGCCTCCTCCGTAGATCGCGGCGAAACCAACCGCCGTGCTCCGGTGCTGCTGCTGCTATGCTGCTATGCTGCTATGCTGCTGTGTCTCGGAAGCATGAGGCAGGTCGTGCCTGTTTTGTCTCTCTGTCCTTACCTAATGTACGAGCTCCACAGCGAGCTAACTCGCGGATAGAGCGAGTTCGACCCCCTCGACCCCCTCTAGGAGAGGGGCGCGGGCGGCCCACGAGTCGCTCATAATAATACTCGAAATTAGACCAACTGGTGATATTGCCAACCGGCACACACAGGAGGCGCAACACCCGCAAATGGCGATCTAATGGCGATCGGATCCTCGTTCCTCATCATCGGAATGAATGCTGGTGGTGTGCACGTAACCCTCGCAAGACATAGCAGAGTGTGTCTCTAATGTGCGACATGATAGCAGCTCGCTGTTTATAGCTGCACACATATTGCCGAACAATTCAGTGTTGTCTCTTTGCCCAACCACAAACACACACACACCCTCTGCGCTGTTCCGCGGACGCGCTGCTCCGCAAGGGATTTTACTAGGGTGTTATATGAGCACGAAACTACGGCCATTATGCATACCTGTTTGTCTGTGCCAGGTGCTGTGTATTTCCGTCTTCTTTCCGCGCGTGCATGTTTGGGTGTTAATCGCCCGCACGGCGGTGGCGTGCACCAACAGCCGTCAACGTCCAATTCGGTCGACTCGGTCCCAGAGGCTCAATGCCTCGCGTCGTCACCAACGCTGTAGAGTAGAGGTAGATGTTATCTTCACGATGGAATTGTGGTGTAGCTCAACTGACAGTACAGATGGGGTCATGCAGGTGTTTTACGCTGGAGTGAAGAGGCTGCATGCTGCGTAGGTGTGTCTCAGGAATCCTCAGAAAAGTAATGATCATGCATGATTGACCTTTTGAGCAGATTAGGTATTCTGGAGTGAAGAGGCTGCATGCTGCGTAGGTGTGTCTCAGGAATCCTCAGAAAAGTAATGATCATGCATGATTGACCTTTTGAGCAGATTAGGTATTCGATCGTACATCGTGTGAGTTCGGCGTTTTGGCAAAACAGCAGTTAATTCGTCTCGATTCAACACTCACGCGTTGGTTTCCACAGAAAAATGCGAATCACAGGTAGCTAGATCATGAGTGTAATCAAGTCGGGATAAACCAAACTTAATCTTCGGAACACACTCACTCTCATCTCTTGAAGGAAAGTGGTGGCTCCGCCCCCCTCCCAAGGACCTCGAATGCCACACCAGAATACGGGTTCCAGCCTCTACATCTGAACACGACACGCTAGTTTACTTCCCCTGTGTAGCAGCATCGTGTACCCCGAAAGTTCCTAGTCAGCAGAGGGTGTGTGCTACAAATCCACGATGCACGATGAAAGCGAGGGCAAGCACACTCCCTCGCGCCTTGCATTGAACTTAACCAATGTACCGCATGGAACACGAAAGCGAAAGAAAAGAAAGACGAGAGTGTCGGAAGATCCTGAAAACCTGAAAACCTCCCTGACCATGATTTTTCACCATCGTCATCACCCATTTGGTCGTCGGCTAGATGAATGTCAAGGTCCGCTATCCCCGATTCTTCACCGTGGAGTGTATGGCACGAAAATATAATATCGCGGAGTACATGGCACAAAAAAACGGCAATACACGTCGTCATCATTCGGCGGGCGGCACTCAGCGTGTCAAATTGATCACCATCCCCCCGACCGTAACCGATCCGCCCGCACGCCCCCCCTGTGACGAAGAGGGAGCCGCCGTGGCACCCCCCTGTGACAGAGAGGGACCCGCCGTGGCACCCCCCTGCGACAGAGAGGAAGCCGCCGTGGCACCCCCCTGTGACAGAGAGGGACCCGCCGTGGCACCCCCCTGCGACAGAGAGGAAGCCGCCGTGGCACCCCCCTGTGACAGAGAGGGACCCGCCGTGGCACCCCCCTGCGACAGAGAGGAAGCCGCCGTGGCACCCCCCTGTGACAGAGAGGGACCCGCCGTGGCACCCCCCTGCGACAGAGAGGAAGCCGCCGTGGCACCCCCCTGTGACAGAGAGGGACCCGCCGTGGCACCCCCCTGCGACAGAGAGGAAGCCGCCGTGGCACCCCCCTGTGACAGAGAGGGACCCGCCGTGGCACGCCCCTGCGACAGAGAGAGACCCGCCGTGGTTCCGGATGCAGCCGGGCCGAGTTCAGAAACTCGCGTGTTGAACGACGACGAAGCGTACTTGTCCCCGCGCCCCGCGATCCTCTTGAACCTCTTCGGCCCGACTTTCTTCGGAGCGCCGGCCTGACCATCCACGGGGAGAGGAGGTAGCAGCGTGTCATCTTCCTCCAGCGTGGACGGCACAGGCAGCATGACCTGGTACGCGTCGTCGCCGTAGGTCTGGCGGTGGTATTGTAGGCGGTAGGCCGGGTGCATCAGGTTCATGACGGCGTTCATCTTGTCCTCCTCTGCGTGTATTGAAAGAGGGGGCAACATGGACAGCGACAGAAGAGGGCAATGACAGCAGCGATAAAGCGTGCTTAGTTTCTGCCGACCGCGGCCGAAAGGGATACTGACGCGCGACGAAGGACTGACCGAACGCGAAGTATCGTTTCACCTGTTTTCCAATCATGGAGCATCAGAATGACTTTGGCTTTCACGTTTTGTGGCACAAGCACCGTATGTTACCACGACCTCGAAGCTGCCGTTGCAGGTGCTGGTGTGTGAATCACGTTCGAGAAAGGGTCCTAGTTCGTTCAACTGGAAGTGCGCGAACGTAGACCGCTTATTTCTTTTGTCATCAAACACTTGACCGAGCGATTCCCGTGGTCACAGGCTACGCTGCCTAAAAGAAGGTATTGTAGTTTATCCCCTGATTCAATCTTGGTATTCCACAGACTGGTTCAATCTTGGTATCTACTCGAGAAGAGAAAATAAACTATCCGGGAAAGACAGGACAACAGGGATATAAAAAACAAACAAAAGAACCACGCAGGAAACAACTATGATGAACAGACAGAAAACAAAAGACCCGCCACAATGACAAGAAAACAGAGACAGAGCACGCCGCGCAAAAAAATGTTTGCCGTGTGAACACGCGAGTAAGCACGCAAGTGGTCCGATCGATTCCGCGACAATACACTCACAGAGTACTGCTGGAAGGCTCCTGGCAACACGAGGTTCACGTTCATCGTTTTTGTCGGTCACAAGACTACAGTGTACATCGCTTACCTCTAGCCACGGCAATGACATCGCAGCAAGGGATCTGGAATCTCGCGGGGAACCCGCATGTGCAGGACCACTCCGTCTTCTGCCCCGGCTCGCCCCACCTCAGCAGGACCCTGTTGCCGCGGGTGTTGAGGGTGGCGAGGTTGGTGTTCTCGACCGTGTAGAACTGGTTGCCCGTGGGGGAGGCGACGAGCCTGGAGTAATGAACGTCGCGTGGCAAAGGCGTGCATGTGAGTAGATGTGGATCTCGGCAGCGTGCGTGCACCTAGAAACATATCATGGAACACCCACCCGTCGGCAACCCACCACCCGTCCGTGCAAGTACTGGAGAGTCCTCCAGGGACAAGGTTGTCTCTTCGAAACCACACGAGGGCGTACCCATACACAGAAAAACCCAAACGCGGCCGTTCATTCTCCACTCTTGTCACTTACCCGGCGGACTTCTTCCTCTGATCTTCGAACGTCGCGGCAGCATAGGGTGTCCATGTGCCATTGTCGAGGGTGGAACGGTGGGCGAACTTCTTGGCGGTATCAGCGAGGATGCTCCTAATCAGCTCCAATGGAGGTAGCTTCCTAGGCTGTGAGAAGTCATCGCCGAATAAGTTGCAACATGATCAAGCTACGTTTGGAACGAAACCAACCATGCTCGCTTACTTGCTGTGGTCGACACGGGGCGTCGCATTGGTACAAGAGAATCACCAAAACAGGGTAGGGGTGCACCCACAACTCGAGCAATAATGCGCGGGAGCGCGGGGGGTGCGGTGGAGGGGTCGTGGGAGGCACACGCGTATTCGTGTCCATTCACGTCAGCGAAAAAGTGGTGTATTCAGGTTCTTTTCTGAAAAAAACAACATCTACTATCGGTCTCTTCACTGCTACGCAGAGTACGCTTGCCTTCCAACGAGTGGGTGGGTGTCCCTGACATGGAATCTACAGTAACGTGTTCGAGTCTTCGCGGCTCGTTGTCCTACCAATACTGCCACCGATCATACATGGTGCACAACAAACGGAACGAACATCATCCTCGCATATTGATACTTTCGTATTTACAACACCGATCCTGGCAGCCACATACGAAGTACCTCGTGCAACGAGTAGCCTTACCTCGACACCAACCGCCGAATTGGTTTGCTCCGAAAGGTTGTTCGTGACAACGTCTTGGAGTGCGGTGTCGGGGGGCCCACCAGAGTGAGCCCACTCATGCCTCTTCCAATCGTCAATGATCTGGACATAGGCGCGAGGCTTGCTCGGTAGCACGTGCTGCTTAAGGATGTCCTCGCATTGTTTCTTCGTGGGAGCTCTGGCGGCGAAGAATACCCATGAGTTGGCATTCTGGGCAGACAAGTTAAAAAATGAGGAGAAGGGGCACGGGCAAAAGAGGGAGAAGGGCTTCTCAAACACAACGAAATGGAGCAGGAATGCGCCCAAGGGAGTCGGAGCGCATCGGCGAGTGCATCAACAGCAGTGGCGCCTATACCTGCCGACACCCACTGCAGCAATACCAAACGTCGAGTCCACGGCTAGCACCAAATAACGAAGCCAGTGAACTAAACAAAAGCCCCGCACACACACGAGTAAGGACTCATGAGCGGTACCTAACAACAACGGTCGATGGGACTCAATCTGTTTCTTCTGCGTTGTTGTTAACATTTTCTCTGGGTTACTTGTCCAGAATAAAGATACCGTGATCTGGACTTGTAGAAGCTGGAGGCCTCTGCCACGGACGTCTAGAGGCGGTACTCACACCCCAACAAAGGGTTCAGACATCCCAGCAGCAAAGCACATGCTACACTCTGTCCGGGTTTATTTCTTTTTTGGGGGGGGGAGAAAGAAAAGGGAGGGAAACAACACAAAATCTTACATCTGACGACACCTACGAACTGCTTGATAATGCACATCACAGACACCCACCCCCCGCTTCATAACACACATCCCAGCCATCCCCCACTCGTCAACGTCTCGCACACATAACATCATACTTTTACTCACGCTGCCGATCTTCTCCTCCAAGTTTAGGATGAGGTGCCTCAAGCAGTACCGGTGCTGCGCCAGCGGGGCCTCGCCCCGCAGCGCACAGGTCGCCCCCTTGTGCTGGTCCGTGAAGAAGGTTGTCTTCGAGTCTTCCAGCAGGTCCCTCATCTTCAGGTTCTTCTTGCAGTTGCGTAGCAACGTCTTGTAGAGGGAGGTGTCCTCCTTGGGTCCGATTACCGTCGCGACGTGGATGTTCTCATTGTTAGCGTCCTTGCACGTCAGCGTCAGCATCATCCCGTTCCACTCTCCCTTGAGGTGTCCCCCATCCATCCCCACGACCTGAGGACGTTTTTTATAGAGCAAAGAGGGAGGGAAAGGGTGAAGGCAATTCGTCAAAACGCAAAATCACTGCTGAGGCCGACATGCATACATAACGTCGCTCTGCAAGAAAGGGCAACATATAGGTTTCAACACGACGGACGACCTTCGCAGATCTTCGCGTCGATCTCTTTCGAAGGAACGGGAACATGTTTGCGCAGGGGAAAAGGGAGATACAAAAATCTTGAGCGGTGGCGTGGGGGCATCGACCGGTCTCACCCGGCCTGAAAGGAAACAACTTAGGTCTTCGAGATAAACCACCAACAAGACGCTGATCTCCATCGATGCCGGCAATGTTTCGCAGGTTGTTGGAGTGGAAAGCGGGCACCACGCAAATAGCAAGGCAACAAAGATGGTGAGAGTCGATCCCTGTATCGTTTACTATACCCTTCCCCGGTACCCCCGGGGTTGGGTTTTCGTCACTTGGCAACGACGTTGTAAACAAGCCGATCGCATCGTGAGCTCGACAACCAGGTTACCGCATTTTGACCGCATTTTTTTTGCCTTTTTTTTTGTTTGCGGTAACCGTAATGGAACCCTTACTCCGCGCAAAGGGGATGATCGCATCACGTTGTGTGAAATTGGGCGAGCACCTTCGAGGCAGTTCCGCAGTGCTCATAACTGTCTCTTGTAACTGTCTCTTGAAGTGCAAAGAGCAAGTGAAAACAACAGACAATAAATTAACAAATCATTTGCAGCTGTCATCCATATGCAAGGAAGCAAGCGCGCGATGCCGAACACCCTTAATAGGATGCACCGCACCCTTCATGCAACTCGCCGAATTCCTCGCGGCGCTTTGCGCTTGGTGATGTGAGAGCTTGGTCCGGTGAGAACCCGGCGTGCTCCGTCTCGCTTTGTAGGGATTCGAGGTCAATGGTCTAACGACTACGGCATGCGTTTACATCAGTATACCTCCCCCCCCTCTAAACTAGGTACAAGAGGGGTAATGGGGGGACAGTGCGCTCGTCCGCCTATTGACCACATCCTCGTGAACACATCTCCGCGCGCGCGAATGACAGTGACACTCGATACAAGGGTTTGACTGCATTCAACATAGTCTACGTGGTGTTAGAACAGGAATATCCTCAAATAAATACTCCAATGGGTTACAACATTCACCGTGCAACAAGGAGGGCGCGAAGAAGGTGCACACGTATATTCCGATTAAAAATGGAAAGGGTCAATCCCAACTCTGCGTGACACACACCTTGATCGGGCTTCGCACCGCGGCGTGAGCAGCTCGCCCGAGCATGACGAAAACACTGCGGAACCTGCCGGTAGTCTCCCTCTGACACAGCAGTGCAGAGCAGCGCAGGGGAGGACGAAACACATCGAAGGGGGGTAGGAGGATGGCATAAGTTCGATTGCAAATTTCAAACAAATTTCGAAGATCAATTTCAAAACTCTTTCAAAAAATCACGAAGTGTCTCTACAACAACACGCCAAAACTTCTTGTACACAAAACAAGACAAAGTGGTCAAATTCAAATTCGATCAAACCAACTTTTCCCGCCTATTTGTCCATTATGATTTAGAGTCTATGATTTATTTGCATCAAGAGGCATCATTAGCCATCCATTTTTGGGGCGCTGCTACCGCTGTTTCCACCAGAGCTCCGACTGCTTCAACAGAATCGCAGATTTAGTGCCACATTGGCGTGAGTACTTGTGGAAGGTGGTGCAGAGCTAACATCGGGGGTGCAGTCTACCCACAGCAGACACCTTTCATTCAAGCCATTTCTACCCACGAATTCAACCACCGCTGATAATACACCCACCTCCACCACCGCAACCGATCCCGGACAGTCCTTCACCAGCTCCTTGCAGTACGAGTCCATGATGCGGTACCCGTGCTCCAGCTGCTCCTTCGACGCCCTCGTGGCCGCGACCTTCAGGCGTGACGCCGCGCTGTAGCTGACCCGGAGTCCTGTGCTCTGCTCCAGGCTCCTCTTGAGGTCGGTGCCTTTCATGGTCGGGTTGCTGACCATGGCGTCACTGGCGAAGCCCTCGAGCGCAGCCGCTTTCGCTCCGACCTTGCCGCCCGAGCAGTCGTTGTGTTCCGGGATGAAGAACGTCACCTTGAACTCTCCCGACCTCTGCCTGCAGGCGCGCACGGTCGCCTGGCATCCTCCTGCGGCGCCATTGCAGATGTACTTCTTCTGCCTGCCGCCTCCCTTCCCAGAATGAAAGCTACGGCCAGCTGCCGAGAACATGGCCGCCACATCTAGCCTTAAGGCTTTCGCGTCTTTGTAATGTTTGCCATTCCCCAGCATGATGACCGTCGTGTGGTGCGTGGGTGAGGTGTGTTGTGTGTGGCTAGGAACTGCCTCCGGGGGCCGGGCACGGCGGTTGGTTTTTCGCCGCGATCTGCGGAGGAGTCTGTCGGAGATTGGTATCCTTGAGGGCAATGTGGCCGTCAACAAGCGTTGGTGGTTTTGTGTGGCTGCTGCGGGGTATGTGCGGTATATGGCGTGTCGTGCGGGTATGTGCGGTATACGGTTTTTCCTGCGGGTTTTAGAGTCGTCGGCGCCGGGATTATATGACCATTTCTGGGTACAAAATCGACCTCTTCCGGGTACACCAGTAACCAGCATCGGTAACAGCAGACAGTCTGGAGATGCCGCAGGCTTCCTGGGGGTACCTAGGGGTGCAGGCGGGTTGATTTCTAAGTGTACCCGAAAGTGGTGACGAAGTACCCGGGTATACCCGTTTCTGGTTACTCCTCTTTTTTCTATTTTTTAATATACCACACCCCTCCCTCCCCCCCGCAGTACCCCTCCCTCCCCCGCGGTGTTTGCCATCGGGGTTGGGTTTTCGTCGCTTGGCAATGAAGTTGTAAAACAACCTCCCCCTCGGTGTTTGACATCGGGATTGGGTTTTTGTCGCTTGGCAACGACGTTGTAAAACAAGCCAATTCACTTCGTGAACTCGGTGAAGGCAACCCTGGTTCCTTTCTTCCCCTCGCTGCCTCGGCAAGGTTTTGCGTAGGCATGACCCATAGCGAGGGGGGAGTCTTTCTAGCGAGCAGGGCTAGACTCACCCTCAGGGGACCGATACCTTCTTGCTGCGGCGCACCCGCCGCGAGGCGTGCGTAGTGGTGAAGTTGGGTCGGCACTGGTGCGTCAGGTACAAAGGTGCAGATTTCGCGGGGCTCCAGGCCGTCGGTGTAGGCAGCAATGCCCATCTCATCTTTGTGCGCGGAGGCAGACGTCATCAGAACTGTGGACGGGCACTATGTACACGGCCCTAGGTTTGCTAGAGGGAGCTGTACTGTCTCAGTAACCTGTTTTTGCCATCAAAGGAGGAGGGGACAGGTTGTGACGAGCTCATTGGGCTGGTTGACCCTTCGGCGCGAGAATCTTCAGACCGAGAACCGTAAGTGCAACGAGGGAGAAAGCGAGGAACCGACTGGGAAGGACAGCAACGAGAGCGTGTACGAAGCGGAGCGGGTCGAGTTTGGTCGTGCTAGGACTGGCCACAGCGGCACCGCAGCAGCGGTACCGGAGCAGCGGCACCGGAGCAGCGGAACCGGAGCAGGCGGACGGCATCGAACCGTGGCGCACGGACAAACATCTCTTGGATTGTCAATTATTTTTCCGTTTTTTTTTCCTGAATACAGGTGTTGGGTGTGTGTAATGACGTCACTGGTTTTGTGGAGAGACGCGGCAGAGATGGCGCGGATAACCCGGGTGCCTTAATTGTGTACCTGCATCGTGGAAGACCCCTTCAATGTGGAACGATTCCTAGTCAGTGCCGATGTTTACACTGTTGTGCCTAACACAGATGATCTGGATAGATTCGGGTGTTGTCAATTGGGCTGTCCACAGACTCATTCTGACAGCACTTCAGAAAGCAGCTCCATGCCCCGAGCTTGTGTACCATGCACCATGGTGTTATTATTTTACAGACAGCACTTCAGACAGCAGTAAGCTGTAGTCGACAAACATTCATTTTGGTAAAATGCGGGACAAGGGGGGTGATGCTGCTGCTGTACTCGATTTGTAGTGTGTGGGCGTGTAGTTCAGTTGTGAGCACGCAAACGCGCTGCAGGGATTGCAGGTGTACCTCCTCGGGCTTGCGTACCCTTTCCTTGCTAATAGTGTGTGTTATTTAGACCTTCTGATGGCTCTGGCCTTTTTGTGACCACGGACCGCGTCTTTGCTAGATTTTGGGATTAGCAACTGCACGTTAATGTGAAGAAAACAACAACAACAACAACAACAACAACCCTGACTCTCGAAACCATGGTTTTGAGTCCGTGTTGAGGTATTTTTTTTCGAAGACATTTTTGTTTTTCGGAGTCCATCACATTGATTGGCGCCTCTCACACCTCAATCAATATATTGCAATACTGCTGTGTAGTAAACGGGCGAATGAAAACAGACGCACAAGCCTACTGCAGGTATTTTCTTCAACCAAAATAAACTATTCCACCTACCGATCTAGTAAAGGAAGACGCTTCCCACACCAGCCTGAACAAAAAATCAACGGGTAACGTACCAGCACCAGGCACTACGCACCAGTGCATGGGAGTAACGGAGCAAACAGGACAAAGAGGCGGCAGATGGGCAGACAGCCAGATGTACAAAAAACAAAAGCAACAGCAAAAGCGAGACCAAGGTACCCAACCCAATAGAGTAGGCAGGGAGGTCATGAAAACAATTAACACAGCACATGGATAGATAGGCCGAAAGCAATTCAAAGGACATAGATGAAGGAGTATAGCATACAGCAGGGAAAAAAACAGGGCGCAACCACATCAGCCGGGTACATGCTCTACGCTGACGACGCGGCCATCTGCTCGCGCTCGCCGGAGAGTCTCGAGAAGATGATGTCGGTCATCGTGCGCGTGGCCGGCCTGTTGGAACTGATGGTATCGGAGCCAAAGACGGAGATCATGTGCATGTTGCCGAAAGGGATCGAGGAACGCCCGTTCACGGTCAGCGCCACCGGCCAGACGTACAAGCAGAGAGATCGGTTTGTGTACCTCGGACGTACCATCTCCGCGGACAACAAGGCCGACCGGGAGATCAAGAGCCGCAGCTGCCGAGCGTGGAAGTGCTACCGCCGGAACAGTGCTTCGATGTACGACAGGCGACGGGCCAATCGCCAGCTCAAGATCCGGCTACTCCAGGCTGAAGTGGTGGAGACTTTCCTGTATGGGTGCGCCTCGTGGAGCCTAACAACGGAGCACTACGCGAAGCTCAATGAAACCCACCGCCAGTTCCTTACACGGTGCGTCGGCTGGAGCAGGCGGAAACGCTCACACCGCCCGCTGTCCTATGCCCAGGCCGTCATCCAGGCAGGCTGCGAGGAAACCATCGAGGCCACCGTGCGCAAACGGAGACTGTGTTTCGCGGGCTTTGTAATGCGCATGGAGGACAACCGCCTGCCCAAGCACATACTGTTAGGAGCGATGGCGGGGGGCGTGGGATACCGGGGCGGGCAGGAGGACGACTGGGTGTCTCGTCTAGGAGAGGACCTCGTGGCCTTCAACATGGGAGACGAAAAGGAAGGGGGGAAATGGAAAGAGAGCGCCAAGGACCCGGAGGTGTGGTACCACAAAGTCGAGGACGGGGCGGCATGGTTCATGAGGAAATGGCACAGGCAGGAGGCGGAAGAGTCCGCGAAGCGCCAGCGCGAAGGGGAAGAAAGGGCGACCGGGCAGTAGAAGCGAGTAGGGCGGCCGAGGCAGCACTTCTGGCGAACTATGTACCCGGCTGATGTTGTTGCGCCCTGTTTCCCTCCCTGTTGTATGCTATACTTCTTTCTTAACGTATGTTCTTTGTATTGCCTTCGGCCTCTGTGCCGTGTTTATTTTTTTCATGACCTCCCGGCCTACTCTGCTGGGTTGGGTACCTTGAAGTCGCCTTTGCTGTTGACATTGTTTTTGTGAGTCTGGCTGTCGGCCCATCTGCCGCCTCTTTGTCCTGTTTGCTCCGTTACTCCCATGCCCTGGTGCGTAGTGCCTGGTGCTGGTACGTTACCCTTTGGTTGTTTCTTTGGCCCGGTGTGGGAAGCGTCCTCCTTTTTTTGTTTTTGTATTATTTTGATCGGTTTTTGAGGGCTCTTTTCTCGAACGGTCGATGCGATACCTGTTCTTTGCTTTCTATCATTTTGTTTTTCTTTTTTCCGAGTGGTTTGCACCCTATTTTCGTTGTGTTTCCCCGCGGCGTCGTATGTGCCGGTTTTTGAGACCACGCGCTCCCCATTTTTTGGGACTATTGAGCTAATGTGAGAAACAACAGCAATCTAGAGTTGTGAATCGGAACGATGTACACGATATATATCGTCCGATATATATCGATATCGGTATCGAAAATTCGTGCCGATGTTCCGACCGATGTTTCTTAGGGGCTCCGTGAATCAAATTTAGGGTATGCGCAGCAGTACGGAGCCCCTGTACGCCACACACACACAGCACAGCAGCGCAGAAACAGCAGACAACAGCACCATGTCCAGAACCAACCGGGAAGTAGACACAGGGAGAGACCGAAGGAGGGTACTGCTGAGGATACGCGACAATACATCAATCTTAATCTTTTTTTTTTTTTTCTACATTCCGTGCGATGTTTGCAGCTGAAGTCAAGCCCTTTTTGATGCCGCATTTGGGCCCATTTTGACGGGAAATGAAAGGAAAATGCACCAAATTTTCTGCCTCCGGCGGCGCCTCCGGCGAGGCCCCCTCACCAGCCGGGGGGGGCCGATGGGGGGGCTCGCTTCGCTCGCCCCCATCACGGCTCGCTGCGCTCGCCCGATATTTTCTCCGATATATCGCCGTAGGCGATATATCGGAGAAAATATCGTTATATCGGCTGCTGCGCAGCCGATGTAAAATATATCGTTTTTTCGTACCGATTCACAACTCTACAGCAATCACAATAGTGATCGACTTCACAAGTCACGAGGGAAGGGATTGCTGTACCCTCCTCGCGATAAAAATATCTCAGGCAGGAACCCCAGGGGGGGGTCCAGCCCACCTCTCCTATGTGACCCCGTTTGGGTCGGCTAGCTGGTAGAAGTGAGGGTAGGGGACAGAGGGGCAGACGACAAAGTCCAATGATGGGAGACGAAAAAAAACCAAGGCAAAAACAATTACTTCGCCACAAGTGCTGCCTCGGCCGCCCTACTCGCTTCTACAGCAGCAGTGCCCGGTCGCCCTTTCTTCCCCCTCACCGCCGCTTCCCCGACTCTATTTCTCGTCGGTCCTGAGATTGCCGTGCCCCCTGCTTCTGCTTCTCTCGCGCGCTGGCGCTTCGCCGACGCTTCCGCCTCCTGCCTGTGCCATCTCCTCATGAACCATGCCGCCCCGTCCTCGACCTTGTTGCACCACACCTCCGGGTCCTTGGCGCTCTCTTTCCATTTCCCCCCTTCTTTTTCGTCTCCCATGTTGAAGGCCACGAGGTCCTCTCCTAGACGAGACACCCAGTCACTCTCCTGCCCGCCCCGGTATCCCACGCCCCCTGCCATCGCTCCCAACAGCATGCGCTTGGGGAGGCGGTTGTCCTCCATGCGCGTAACAAAGCTCACGAAACACGGTCTTCGTTCGCACACATTTTTTTTTTCTCCCCTCATCGAACTCTGTCGTCTGCCCCTCTGGCCCCTATCCTCCACTTCTATTAGTTAGACGACCCAACCGGGGTCACTTATGAGGGGGGGGGCTGGACCCCCTCCTGCGGTTCCTGCCTGAGGTATTTTGATCGTGAGAAGGGTACAGAAATCCCTTCCCTCCCGACTTCAGAAGAAGTAGATTATGGTTTACTAACAACAAGCTTTGCAGCGCGTCGCTTTCATCCTAGACCAGGATTTATTGAGTGAGAAAAATACTCACTCTGCCGGGACTCCTATGACCTGGCCCTTAGTAGGCTGCGATGTAATCGACTTCGAAGGTCGCGAGGGGAGGGATTGCCGTACCGTTCTCGCGATAAAAATACCTCAGGCAGGAACCGCAGGCGGGGGTCCAGCCCCCCCCTCCTATGTGACCCCGGTTGGGTCGTCTAGCTGGTCGAAGTGGAGGATACTTGGAGAAGTGGAGGATATGGGCCAGAGGGGCAGACGACAGAGTCCAATGAAGGGAGAAAAAAATATATAAATACATGTTGCTTTTGTTTTTTTATTCATCTGGCTGTCTGCCCATATGCCGGCTATTTGTCCTGTTTTTTCCGTTACTCCCATACCCTGATGCGTTGTGCCTGGTGCTGTTACGTCACCCTTTGTATTTTCTTTAGGCGGGTGTGGGAGTCGTTCTCCTTTTTTTTCGTCTTTGTTTCGTTTCGGTCGATTTCCGAGGGCCCTTTTCTCGAACGGTCGGTGCGGTAGCTGTTCGTTTCTTTCTTCTATCATTTGATTTTTTTTCTGGGTGGTTTGTACCCTGCTTCGATTTTTTTCATTTTCTTACTGTCACAAAACAAATCCATCTTTATCTACAGAAATAAGTCTAAGATAGATTAGAAATGAATCCATAGCGTGAGCGAAAGGCTACCTGTTGTTTCACCGCGGCGTCGTATGGGCCGGGTTTGGAGACCACGGGCTCCCCATTTTTGGTGGACTTTAGAGCTAATGTGAGGACCAACAACAACAAAACAACAACACGCGAATTGGCATCCACAATCGCACCTCCGGCACCCTTCCTCCGACTCCGCGACAACAACAGGATTGGCGTAGATACCGAAACGCTCCGGTGGCGGATACAAGGTATGGTCTTAATGCACTGCGGTGTGGAACGCGCATCGCATGCCCACTGCAGCCTCCACACGAAATATAAGACGTATTTTATCACTACATTGTTGGCATCGACAATCCCGCTTCAAGAACGCGGCGTACTTGTCCTGTGCGAAGTCGTTTGGACGTTTGGAGCTGCGATATATGTTTGAATACGGTAGACAGTCCGGTAAAGATTGTTTGCATGGCGGTAGCGAAGCAACGGTTTGGTGCGGTGCATGTCGTGCTTCGATGCATGAACTACGACTCGAGGAAGGGCCTCCGGCTGCGGGGGCCGTGGTAGCAATGCCTAGATGATGAGATTAGACCTACCTATGTTCCAAGGTACAGTGCTCCACTACAGAGAGGCCGATAGGTTGACGGAAATTCCTGGAGGAAGGGGATTCTAAGCCACCATTTCCGGTGTTCGCACGGCGAGCGAGTTTGGGTATGGAGCATTCGAGCTTCGAGACGGGCCGTGCTATTCCTCCACCCCTCACGGTAGCTTTGAAACATCCGCTTTCATGTCCGGTAGCGCTGCCGACTTTGTTCATTTTTTAATTACTATGTCAGCATGACCCAACGAACAGATCTCTATCTAAGCAAATAGTCTAGGGCGGTTCGTTACGGTTTGAAAAATTCCAGTTAAAAAATTAAAATTTGCAATTCCCAGCCGAACAGAGCTTCTTCTTACGGTTTGGAAAATCGATTTTTTCGAGATATAAATTTTCAACTCGGGCCGAAAAAAAACGGAAACGCTCTGCGCAGTTGGGAATTTCAAAAATTTTCAACTCGCGACCGAGTTGAAAATCTAGTTGGAAATCCAAACCTAGGGGGGGGGCGTGCATCGCACACCCCCCCCACCACACCTGCTTTGGTCGCTGGATGCACCCGACAGTGCACAACAGGGCCCCACAGCACAGCACAGCACAGCACAGCACAGCGCGTGACAGCCTAGCACAGCGCCACACACGAGCAGACCCGGTGCTTTGTTGTCAGCGCGGTGCGCCCGATATTGGGACCGCGACAATCAGTTGGAAGCAACAGTGCTGTCAGTCGCGTTGGCGGCTTTTCACCAGGTCCAAGAGGAGGATGGTTGCCGGCGCACAGCACGCTCGGTATCCTATTGGGATGCTGTGCTGTTTGACGAGGATTCGGAGGACGAGGAAGTTATCGGCCCGAAGGTTAAGAGGACACGACGCGTCACGCAGCGGAGGGATTGGCGTACCTCTGCCTGGTGGGAGCAGCTTTAGGATGTCGACCTCGCCAACCACACCACGGCCGCTGTTAAAATGTTTCGAGGGCGCTTCCGTGTACCTTACCCCTTCTCTCAAGAACTGGTCAAGCTGTCAAGGGCGAAGCGATGGGTTTCGTCGGGGGAGAAGGATGCAGCTGACCGCGGAGGAATACCACTCGATTTGAAGGTACGCACGTCTACCCGTTTGTGCGAACCTCCTACTGCACGCCTGTCGCCTGACGTAAAGAGTAGTAGAACAAGGAGGGTCTCATGTCTACGGTAGCAACACTGTAGCTGGGGTTAGTAGGCGGAACGCCTACGTGCTGCAGTACCCAAAAACTTCTGCATGCGGTAGACAAGGCAAGACTAGGCAAATCAAGCCTCGCGCCATCCTTTAGACTAGTCTATGCTGAAACTCTGTAAAGTTTCAGGTGTCTGTGTGCCAAGAGAAACACCAAAATATCTGTATTGACCGCATCAGAGCTTCGGATGTGTCGGGGAGGTTCGTTCTAAGATTTCCTGTTTCATTTTCTGATATTGTACTTCGTGAACATCCTACAGTGTCCGTTCCACGTTAAGTTCGTCGTACATAGTCTAGTGCCCCCCCCAGCCGCTCTCTCTCTCTCTCTCTCTCTCTCTCTCTCTCTCTCTCTCTCTCTCTCTCTCCCTCTCCCTCTCTCCCTTTATTATCCGTAGTGCAACCAAGGGTAGCAAGGTTGCCGATGCAGAGTGTTGCAGCGCCCCTGCTGTTGGTATACGTAACTTGATTTTGAATCACAACGTTGGCGAAAACGCAATGGCCCGCGTACTTGTTTACAGCTGGACCGCATGTTTGCCTCTCTTGTGTTGCCCTTCCCGGGGTGGTTGAGTGCACTGGTTGGCACCAACAGTGCTGGCCTCCTGTATGCAAGCGGTATCTCACCGCTCTCTTCTCGCCCCCCTTCCACAAACATGTACACCACTCCATTTTTCTCCAGATATTGGCGGCTATGCAGGTGCTCGGCAAGAGCACCTGCTTCGATGACGTAGAGCAGCTGTCGAAGATGAGCAAGTCGATGGCACAAGCAACGTTCCACAAGTTCTGCCGTCACTTTGCGGCGGAGATGCTCGACGAGCACATCTACCTCCCGACCGGGACGTACCTGGACGAAGTTATGGGGATCTTTCACCAACTAGGGTGTACGGGAGCGTGTGGGTCCACGGATGTCACCCACATTGGCTGGAACATGTGCCCCTTCACCCTTGGCCGTTCTTTCACGGGCAAGGAGGGGTTTCCAACTATCGCCTACGAGGTCACGGTCGACCACGCTGGACGCGCTTTAGCCGTTACCAACGGCTTCACCGGTGCGACGAGTGACAAGACGACCATTCGGTACGACTCGGGAGTCAACAAAATCAGAACAGAGTACAAACTTCGCCAAGGCGAAGGGCACCGAGCGATCGCGCCGCGGATGCTTCTTGTTGATGGACAACGGGTACCACGAGGTATGCCGGTGTTGCTTTGATGGGCCTGCACATGTTATAGGCAGTTTATTGTAGTCGCTGCGCTTTCAGACGCTCGGGATTTTTTTCAGATGTTCTTGTTGCTCCCGTTACACGTGTGAGAACACGCACACACTTTGACTCTGCGCATCAAGAACGGCTCCCAATAAACCCTGATATCCTCATTCACGCTGAGGCTTTCGTATCACAGGATGTCCGTCCCCAAGGACTTATGTGTAGTCCACCACAAGAATATCGTGGGAAAGCTCCCTTCGAGCGAGAGGGTGCCAATTTGGGTGCGGAATATCTGAAAGCCATGCACACAATATGGGGCTTAGCATACATGGCAGACGCAGAGGGTTTGGAGCAACACCACAGCCTATCTTGTTGCACAAACTTCGAAGTACGTGCCGGTAGTGCACAGAGAGTTTCACTTGTGAGTCGCACTCGCTTAAACTGACCGTTCTCGTTTTTCGTTCGTTCGGTCCCTGTGTTGTGTCTATTTCGCGTGTACACCAGTGGGTAACCCTCATCGCCCCGTCCAAGTACCCGCAGAGCAACGAGGATACAGCCTTCCTAAGGCATCTTGAGAGTGTGCGAAAGGATGTGGAGTGCTTCTTGGGATTCTGAAGGGCCGCTTTAGAATCCTCAAGCTCCGCACGCCATACCATAAACGAGAATACATCGACAACATTTTCTTCACATGCTGCATCCTGCATAACATGCTCCACACGTTCGACGGCCTGGACGTACGGACTGGACAGGGAGCGCTGGGCACCACGACGCCTGGGAGCATGACCTCGCTCACGGACTACACTTCTGTTGGGTCGAAGGGAGTGCTGCTGCCACCGAAGGAGGGGGAGAAGGAAGAGAGTGGTGAGGGGGGGCACGTGAGAAAGGAGCGGCACCCGGACCATGCAGAGTTGAAGAGGCAGCTAATCGAGAGTTTTTCTTTTCGTAAGAAGATCAACGACATCACCTGATTGTCGCGCCCCAAGTAAAGAGTTTGTGCATGTGTTAGAATTTGCCTTCATCCCGACTCAGTGTCATGGGGTCGTACGGTTGAACCGGGTGCGCAGAGCATAAACCATGCAACCCCATGATGATTGACAGGTTGTTTTGTACGGACAGGTCTACCGTTGTAGGTTACATTTGGACACGACGTCGGCGGCGTTTTTCGTCTTTGTTTTTTGGGGCCTGCCGGGTAGATAGTCGCTGATACAAATAATCCGAGGGAGCCAAGCAAGGCATCGTCGAAGTTAAAAGCTGTTCAGGGCATTTTTTGTTTCTTCCGTTACGGCACAAACCCCTTCGACGTTTTTGGCGCTGGAAGATTCGTTCGCCTCACCAACGCTCGACAAAGTATTTCTACCGTTGGCCGAGCGGCGTTACAGCTAAAAAACATTTCGAAACATAACTTTTTGCACTCACGCAGAAAGTGTTTGAATTAGTACATATTTTTCTCGCATCTAGGCTCTTACCTAAAAAGGAAGCCCCCCCCCCCGCCCCCCCCCCCCGAAACTTGCACCAAGTACACACATGGACGCCGTTGAATTGGTCGAGATTTTCACGCACCCGGGTTGATGGTGACGAAGCCCCCCCCCAAGAAAAAAAATAAAAGGATCAAGCACACACATGGACGTTGTTGAATTGGTCGAGATTTTCACGCACCCTGGTTGATGGTAACAAAGCCCCCCCCCAAGAAAAAAAAATGAATGGACCAAGCACACAAATGGACGCTGTTGAATTGGTCGAGAATTTTACGCACCCGGGTTGATGGTGACGAAGCCCTCCCCCAAGAAAAAAAAATAAAAGGACCAAGCACACACATGGACGCTGTTGAATTGGTCGAGATTTTTACGCACCCGGGTTGTTGGTAACAAAGCCCCCCTCCCGCGCGATATTGGACCCTTCATATCCCTGGCATCATGTCACGGGTAAACGACGAGGAATCACGGCGAAAAGCACGAGAAAAATAGCCAAAGTTACAGCCACACAGACTCGGTTGCCTCCAACCTGATGTCGCCTGCCTCGGCTCCCGATGCTCTCGCAACTGCCGTGGCATCACCCGTTGCTGCTGCATGGGCGAGCCCTACGTTGCCGCTGAAACCGGGCAAGCCAGAACCTCCAACGCCCGTTCCACCGCCGACCAAAGCGACTGCAGCACCCGCTTCAGGATCGCCAATCACACTCGAAGGGGGGCTGCGGCGCTAGCGAGGTCAACGGGGGGAAGCGACTCGACAGCCGCACAGGGCGGGTTATAATACAGATATTCAAGCTCGGCCTCAAGCGCAAAATAATCCTCTGTCCCTTCCTTGCCCCGCTTCTCCCACAACTTGAGCTTCCTCTCCTTCCCATCTATCGTCCGCTTGTGACGCTGACCCACCGCCTCCTCCTCGTCGAGACGCCCTTTGGCCACGACCGCCTTGGTGAGCACCGCCACGCTCGCACATAGCTCTCTTGCGGACTTGGAATCCGGTTGGGGGGCTGTTGCGAACTCCACCAACTTGCGTCTCCAGTCCTGCATTTCCTTCTCCTTCTTCGCCTTCGAATTCTGAGCATGCACCTCGTTTTTAATTTTTCCCGGCTGGCGAAACCACAGATGCCCCCGGCCCCATCCATCGTCTGAAGACCACGCTTGCCTAAGGGGCCGTTGCTGGTGTCGCTTGTATCCTCGTCCGACGTCCTAGAGGGAGTCGCCGACGCAGATTGGGCGCGACGCCCCTGCTTCCCGGGGCCGGTAGACATGGCCACCTTAAGGTCAACGTCCTCATGCTTGCCCGCGGGACGGCCAAACAACGCGAATACAAGGCTGTAACTGTGAACCCGTCCTGATGGCCTCGTCAACTTATCGTCGTCTTCGGCGTCCTCTGGTGCTTCCCCCTCCTCTTCCCCCTTCTCCTGCTTAATGCTGGGGTGGTTTTCAGCCGCCATGGTCAACGCCGCTCGTTCGCCATCCAATTGGGGCGATCAGCCGAATCCGCCGCGGGTTCAGGCCCCAAGGCACCAATCTTCGCTTCAAGCTTCGCTGCTCGAGTGTCTGGCGCCGGCGTCGACGCTACGTCCCCGTTGGCTCTTTGCTCAGCTTCCCACGCGGCCGTCTGGGAGGCCACCCACCTCACCGCGGCCGCGGACTCGACCGGAGAACCCTCTTCTTCGTCGTCTTTCGCCTTCCCCTCGTCCGCCCCACCGCCCGCGCCGTCCAAGACTGCGGGTATCTTTTTGTTCTCCGCGTTGGCTGCTTTCTTCTCGGTGGCACTTTTGGCGTTGTTTTTTTTGACGATGTAGAGCTGGTCTTGAATTTGGCACCACTGGTCTGGGGGCTGCTCTCCTGACGGGAGCTTCTTGTCCGGCCCCAAAAGGCTAGGTTTCGCACAAGGGTCGAGGGGAATTGGCCGAGAAAAAATTGAAAAGGTCTGAATGAAATGTCCTTAGTTCGTTATCATTTCCAGATGTGTCACGGAATTTTGGCCATGATCGCTGTGCTGAGGAATTGGTGCACGCGGACGTAGACATGGCGCTCTCGGATATCAGAAAGCTTCCTTCCTGCCGATACTTGACTTGCTTCTAGTGGTTACTCTCTCGTTACCCAATGTCTAAAACCACATCATCTCGGTCAACACGAACAGCAATCGTCTCATAGGTACTGTAATGCAATATTTTTGGTTTCGTTTTCGGTGCATCTAGCTTCGGTTATCAGAAACCGGGATGTAGTAGGTGACACACTCGCAGCGCAATTTAGGAGGGGAGACCCTGGCCCGTCGTACAGCAGTGTACAATGTCTCCTTTACCCATACCTACAAGCCTTTCTGTTCTAGACAAAAAGCGGGTCCGTGCGCTGAAAAACAGTCTGTCTGGGCTGATGCTGGTAAAATACACCGAGTGAAGAAACAGCGAAGGTGCCGTCAAATGCTTCGGGATATGCGCCCAGCGCAAGAGAGCGGGGCACGAAGCAATGTGAAAATAAGGACTCACCTGTCCCAGATGTCATTGAAGTCTATCCGGATCTCAAGAGCAGCTTTCAGATACTTGGGCCACAAATCGGCCTGGGTGTATAACTTCAGCTCTGCGCGAAAGTCCAGCAGAGGCACAGCAGCAGGGAGGGTACGGTTAATCTTTTCATTCGTACCCCAGGTCTGCGCGAGAACAGATCAGACTACCGCTGTAGACTGGGCCGCGCCTCTAAAAGCCAGTCGTGTTGATATGGGCACAACACGCTCTAGGCTGAGTCGCGCCGTTATTTTCACGTCACACGTCTACGCAAGAGCAGAAAGAATACTATTGCTGTAGAGAGTGAACCTCGCCTCCTGTTGAACTCCATTCGTGTTGTTTTGGACACAACTCTCAGCGCAAGATAATTGTTGTATAGTCTCATGCGTGTTTCTTTTTGATTGGCGTCCTCCAAGTCGGTCTGTTCCCAGAGATTCATCGCGGCCTGTAGTAGTGCTGCAATGTGAGAGTTTCAAAGACGAC